TACTGGGGTTGGAGATTTCCACGTATGAATTTTGGGGTTATACAATGTAACCTGTAACTGTCCCCATTATAATGAGTTGAATGTTGGGCATGAAGAAATGCCTTAAAAAACCGCTTTACTTGGGCCAGGGATTTAGCTCAGTGGTTCCACTGCCTGCCTCGAAAGCTCAAGGTCCCAAGTTCAATCCCCCGAACCAAAAAAAAAAAAAAAAAGGAAATATCTTCCTTCCTATGGCCAGGCATGGTGGCGCACGCCTGTAATCCCAGCACTCGGGAGGCTGAGGCAGGTGGATTGCCAGGAGTTCGAGGTCAGCCTGGGGTACATAGTGAGTTCAAGTCCAGCCTGAACTACATAGCGAGACCCTGTCTCAAAAAAAAAAATTCTTTACTTGAGCTACTTTTGTTTTGTTCTTTTCTTGATAAGCAAAACAAAATTTTTACTTTCTCCTCAATGCATACAAACTTTAATATTTAATCTACTATATCTGTCTATCCATAACCTCTTGGAAAAATATGTGAAACCTAATCATATTTTAAACTTCTTTAGGTACATATTTACGTATTCTTTATTCCTCTGTTGCAAAGCCTGTTTCTATGAATGTTGTAGCCTGCTTTCAATTTAAAAAATACTGTTGCTTTAATGCAAATGTAGAACTTCTAAAAACTGGATATGATTCTCAAATCAAAACCAATCCTTTATATTAACATTTAACTTAAAATCAGATGTTAACTTTAAACTAACTTCAATTATTACTAGATTTTTTTCTGAAAACAGAAATATCAGCAAGCAGTTTAGTCTCAGTGGCAGTTTCCTTATGTCTTGTCCCTCTAGCTACTATTCTAGGACTTCTTTGGTTTCATATCTTCACCTACTTTACTCCATAAATTCTCTCCCTTGTATCTTTTTCTCACTCAGTATCTTTAACCTATTAGTGGATTTTTTCTGCATGTTCAATTTTTTAAAATTAAAAATACAAAACTCTCCTAATCTGGAGCCTATATTGTCTCCTATAATCAATGTCTCCTTCCCATCACAGTCATAAGTAATCTTTGTAATGTTTAATAAGCAGTACTCTAATAAGATTCACTACAATATGTTTCTGCCCCATCATTACTCAGAAACTACTATGGATGGTTCATCTTGCCAAACTCAGTGTATACTTTTTTGTTCTCATTTTGAGTCTTGGCAGCATTCAGTACTGTGCTTTGTCGAAATTCATTCTTCATCTAGTTTTTAATTCCAGCATGCCTCTGCTGATTCTGGTTGTTCAATAATTTCCATGGACTTCTTTTAAAGCTTTCTCCCTCAGGTTTTCTGCTATTCTCATTCTATTCCTTTTTTTTTTTTAAATTTCTCATTCTATTTCAATGTCTAACATTCTTCACACACACTTTCTAAGTAGAACTCTCCCGTAAAATAGGTCCCTTTTCATCCAATCACCCAAAGAGTCATCCTAGTATCTACCCCCTCATTCATCCTCTAAACCCAAATAGGGATATTCTATAGTTTCTACCTCTTGTTTTCACTTTTATTTTTATTTTTGGTTTTCTGAGACACTGACTTGCTCTGTAGTACAGGCTAGCCTTGAACTCCCTATGTCACATAGGCTGGTCCTGACTCCCCAAGTGATAAGATTATAGCAAATGCTACTGTGCCCAGCTTGTTTCTACTTCTAAGTTTCTAGAATCTATCCCTTTCTCTGCAGAAGCACTGCTGTTTGTGTCAGCTAGGGCTCTGTCATTCATGTTGGTTATACTGATGATTCTAACTGATCTTCTTGCTCTGTCACAATTTACTTTAGTTTATCCTTTCCTACAGAGACCTTTTAAAGAGGTACTTTTGTCATTCCCTGGCTTTAGTTCTTGCAAAAGTTCCTCACAGATTCAGGATAAAAGTCCTTACGTTTTAGCATAGCACAGAAGGTCCTTGATTTTCTGGATCTTTGTCTCTTTATTTCCTGCTACTTCCCTACAGGCATCTTATGATTCCACGATATGGACCTGCTTGCAGTTCTGCAAATGCAAACTTCATCATAGGAAAACACTATGTGGGAAATTCTAAGACTGTTGATACCAAATCACTCCTAAAAACACTGTCTATTTGCTTTTCTCTTACTTCCATGGATCATTTTCTCTTTCATTTAGTTTCCACACCATATGGTTGATGGTAGTTTACTTGGAAGAGACTACATTAAGACTAGTTTGTAAGTAAGTTTTCAAAATAAAGGCCTGAAAAATTAACTGCAAGATTCAATCCCTAGTATCAGAAAAAGTTAATTGTGAGATAATAAGCAATGAAACATAAAACTATGTGAAATCCAGATATAACAAATCTGCCATTTCTGAAAACAGCAGCATTACTAAAAATTAAATTAAGACAAACCAAATGATCATAGAAGTTTATTATATTTTGTAGTTACCTAAGGTAGAGAAAGAGTATGAAAATATTAAATACAAAATGTAAACAATACTAAGAAAACTGCACATTTTCAATTACTGTTCTATACTAGAACTCTTTAATATTTTCTTAGCATTGATCATTTTATAAACTGTTGATGAATGCATTGGCCTACAATTTTCACTCAGACACTCATGTCTGTTATGATCTCTAATAATGATAACACATCAAGATGGGCCTTAAACCTATTTTCTACACACATTTAGTTTGAAATTAATCCAATAAACTACATTTAAATAGTTATCATCCAACGTATCAGTAATTATTCAGTTACTTCCATAAGGACATCTTAATTTCTATTTAAGTAAATTTAGGAAATAATTTTCTGAACTTGTAGTAAGTGATGGAATTCTTATGTGTTCTGGCTTTTCTGAGGTGTAGAAAGCTATGTTTACCAAGTATTTAAATCTATTTTTAAAAATCTATGATTCACCTCAGAGAATGGCTTATTTCTCTTGTCATTTGCTAGAGATTTTTATTGTGACATTTCATGAAGTACACAGTCTTTTCTCAAGTTTTTTCTCTTAGAATTCTACACCATGAAAAAAGAATAACTTAAGTAGTCCAATAGGACCTATAATACTTAATAGAAAAAACAATGGTGGGGCCGGGGATTTAGCTCAGTGGTTCCAGTGCCTGCCTCGCAAGCGCAAGGTCCCGAGTTCGATCCCTGGTACCAAAAAAAAAAAAAAAGAAAAAGAAAAAATAATGGTGAATGCATCCTTAACCATGTTCTAAGACTGGTTTTCTCATTAATCTTTATGGAAAACTAGTGATCTACAGACAGAAACTCTTCACTTAGGAGTTTAAAAGATGCTTATATTTCATTTTAAAATTCTCATTCATTTCAATGGCAGTAATAAACTATATGATGTGCTCATGTCTACCAAATTATTCAGAGCTAGTTTTACAGATTCATAAATAAAATGTGAAAAAAACCTAATTAATGGCTGGGGATTTAGCTCAGTGGCACTGCTCCTGCCTCGCAGGTGCAAAGTCCTGAGTTCGATCCCCAGTACCAAAACCAAAACCAAAACTAAGCTATGATATTTAGAGATGAGAGTTACCCTTTGATCTCAAAAACTATCTTATCTTTCCAAAAATGCATTTTTATATATCAAAATACAATATGGAATTAAGGTGAATGATGGTAAGGGAAAAGGTAAATTTGCCTGGAAAGACAAATGGAGATAGAGAAATATGAAGCGGCTACTACTTTTCATATTGCTTTAAAAATACTAGTTTGGAAGTTCTTTATTACCTTTTAAAAAGAGTAATAGAGGGACATATGACAGATTATTAGTGAACAAGTATAAATAACAGTTTCTAAACTTTTTATTATACTAATTTAGTGATCTGATAAATTCTTGATACTCAAAAACCTAGTAAGCAACATTCTCATATTTGAAAGCAAAAACAAAATTACTAATAAGCGTTACTTACATTCCAAACCGCAATGTTCCAGAAACATACGTTTGCCAATGTGCACAATAGAACATAAATGTGCCAGCAAAACAACAAAAAAACATCCAATCAGGATTTGTCCCAAGTTGCACTGCAATACAAGTTCCAAGAACCACAAAAACTGCAGAAGAAAAATCACAATGAAAACTTAACAATTTGAATAACAAATATTAACTGAGCCAGACATGATTTTAGATGATACAGAGAGAAGATATCCTGTGAATACACAATATTCTCTTATTTATCAGTGCTTAACGAGAAAGTAGGATATAATCTTTTACACTGACTTTTACCTCATAACTTCAATCTCTTTTTTCACTATACTATTTAGTGAAACCAAAGATCTTGAAAGCAAAAATGAAATATTTTGCTATTTATTTTAGTAGTCTCTTAATTTACTGATAGCGGTGCTAATGACCAGTAAAAAGTTACAAGGCAAAGCAGCAAAAGAAAACAGAAAAACAGAAAAAGAGCCTAAATAATCCTACTTGCTTGAGAATGGTAACTGCCTTTTATTATTCAGCAGATATGGGTAACATGTAGAAAAAAACTTCTTAGAATAATTTGGAACTAAAATTACAATGCAAAAATGAGTGTCATTTCAAATAAAAAAAATAGGATACCTGACAGCTGGTTGAATAGCCTATTAGACACCTAACTAGTTTTATTCAATGGAACATTCGAGATTTTCCTAACTTGACTTTTAAAAGTTCTAGGAGCTTAGTTGTTCTTGCTTGTGTACTAAGCAAGGTGATAGCAGGATACAGTGAAGCAATTATTCTAACATGTACCTATGAGGTGTGATTACAGTAATGTTAATTGAAAATTTAAAAATTATTGTAAAAGACATTGCAATTGATCTTCATCAAAATATTCCCCCTCCTTTTGATCACACTTATCCCATCATTTTTGCCACTTTCTGAAGCAGTTCTGGAAGTTCTGTTTCATCAGTGTCTTTTCTTGGCTGGCTTGATGTCCTGAATGGATTAAAAATATTTTAGTAATTTCTGTCAAATATAAACTCATTTACTTTATTCACCAGATCTGGTACTGTGTGACTTTTGGTCCTTCCCCAAAGTAAAAATGACCAGGAAAAGAAAATGTTTAAAAGTGATTCAGGTCACTGAGGCAGCCAACAGCACAACTAAATAAAGGCACTCACTAAAGGGACTTCCAGAATTGCTTAAGAAAGTGGCAAGAATGATGGGATAAGTATTAAAAATGAGAGGAAGTAATTCAAAGGGGATTAATTACAATGTGTCTTTTACTATAATGAATTTCAGAAGTTAATGTTCACTGTATTTTTTGATCACTCTGTGTATATCTTCAAATCTGGATTCAGAAAGTAAAACTATCAACATTTTTTTGTTTCCTTTTAAATACTTTAAATATCATACCAAATTATAAGAAAACTAGAGAACTATATTTAAAAAAGAAGGAAATAGAAATTCATTTAGTGTTGGAAGAGTGGCTCAATGATAGAGAGCTCCTGCACAAGGCCCTGTGTTTGATCCCCAGCATAGAGGAAAGAAAAAAAAATCATTTAGATTCTCAATCTCTTTTTCTTTCTAAACACATACTGAAATGAAAGACTTGCAACATGGTGCAAAAAAGATATATCTCTACAATCTACCTATAGCAATCCACTGAATCCTAGCATTTTAGTGTGTTTTTTTTCTAGTTTAAAAAAATTACATATATTTAAAGTGTATAAAATGCTGTTTGATATAGGTTCATAGTGAAATGATTACTACACTTAAGCAAATTAACCTACTCACCATCTTTCATGGTTATTTTCCTCCCCACTGTGTAGGAATGTTTGAAATCTACTCCCTCAGCAAATTTTTCCATATACAAAACTGTTAACTATAATCCTGTTTACCTTAGCTCTCCAGACTTCATCCTAGTCTTTTTGTTTTGTATGTTTGTTTGAGACAGAGTCCCACTATGCAGAATTCACCCCGGCCTTGAACTTGCTATGTTACCCAGGCTGGCCTTGAAATTGCAGCAATCTTCCTGCCTCAGCCTCCTGAGTGCTGGGATTACACCCAGATTCGAGTCTTTTTTTTTTTTTTTTGGTACTGGGGATCGAACTCGGGCCCTTGCACTTGCGAGGCAGGCGGCAGAACCACTGAGCTAAATCCCCAGCCCTCATTCTTATCTTTTTATCCAAGCCCCCAACACATATTTATAATCCAAGTCTAAAATGTAATTTTAAATGACTACATAAGATCCACTTATATAAATTACCAAACCAGTCTCCCACTACTGTATTCACTGTTTTTGATTTTTTGATAATGACAATCATATTTTAAGATTTTAAAAAATAGTTATAAAGAATACTTAGGGTTAAAAATAAGTATAAATGAATTTAATTTCCAAATTTCCCAATGTTGACAATAATGAACAACTATTAACCAGATTTACAGTCTTAAAAACTACTAAAATTTAATACAAAAATCACCTATTCTAGTAACTACATAAACCTCTTACACAACCTAACACTGTTTATCACATTGTTTTTATCAGTTAATATCCATTAGCATTAAAAAAGCAGCAATAAATACCTGTTGATAGCGAATCACAACCATGATCAAAAAGCTCTCCCAAAGGAGAACTACTATTGGTTCTTCTTGCCTGTTTCCCATCTATAGCATCCAAAGACTGGTAAATGAAAAGTCCACAAGCACAGGCAATATATGCCCAGAGAGGTGCCTGTGAAATAAAATAAGAAAGGCAAGTACATTTCAGGCATATTAGCTACTGTGTCTGGCTAATATACTTTTTAACTACAGATATTTTATCTTCATTCTCTAGAGTAAAGTTCTGCTAGCTGGAAGCTATAGAAGACACATGTATCTTCTCTTCATAGAAATGCTACATGATGAAAAACTTGCGGAAAGAATTAGGATTGTTAAGAGAAATAACTTCTCTGCCTTTAGGAATACTCAAGGAGATCCTGGTTAACTATAGTCAACTCTGCATATCTCTGGGATTCTCCTCCATGGATTTAGCCAACTGAGGCTCTAAAATATTCCGTATAAAAAACTGTAGACTGAATATGTACAAACTTTTATGCTTGTTATTATTCCTTAACAATATAGCATAAAAACTGAAAGTGTAAATAAGGACTAAAAGGTATAATAGATAATGTGAAATAGGAAGAAAAGGGGCAAAGGGGAAGGGGAAGTGGGAGGGGTAGGGAAAAGGAAAGAAGGGAATGGAATTAATATGAGAAAAGGGAAACAAAGTTTTTGTAAATAGGGAGGGATGGAAGTGTTAAAGAGAGGGCAGGGGAAGGGGGAAAAATAAGAACCAAGAGAGATTCTGTAAAGGTGCAAATTTCCAATGATGAAGCGCAAGGACCTGAGTTCGATCCCCGGTAACAAAAAAAAAAAAAAAAAATTTCCAATGATGAATGTCATATTGTATACCTAAAAAAAAACAACAAAATAAAATAAAAAAACAATATAGCATAAGGAATACTTACAAAGCATTTATATATTATTAGGTATTATAAGTAATCTGTTGATTAAAATGCTTGTTAATGAAAATATAAAAAATTTAAGGATTTAGATGAATTTATGACTCCGTATATTATATATTAGAGACAATCAGGCATGGAGAAGGGTTGCAGGGAAGAATAGGTTCATATTTGATCTCTTGACCAATGTAATAAAAATCACATCATTATATGCTAGGTACCCTGAATGGATGATCTTAGTTAATACTCCTTATGGCACAAAGTAAGATTTAGAATGATAAAATATAAATAGGAAAATTTACATACCTTCGTGAAGATCAGAGATAATAAGGAGCTATCACAGAAGATAGCTATGACCTATTTCAATGCCTTCTGATCTAAGCCTAACAAATATTTCTAGCATACAGCTATAAGTGCATCCAGGCATATCCTTACTTTGTAGAACATTACCTTTTCTTGCAGAGCAACAAATAATAGCTTAGTTATAATCTATCTTGATTCCTTCCAGTTGCAATTTGGAAAATTTCCCTGTGATCAGAAGATTTTCTACTCTGGAAGTTTCTCAATGTTTTAACTAATTCTGGGTTATACCAATAATTCTAAATCACTTACACAACAGTGGCCAACTAAAATAATGAAAGGGAACATGATACCCGCTGATACACTCTGGGGTAATCAATAAATGACTTAGTGGCTGAGCTACTTTTGAACCTACTCTCATTCCCTGAACCCCATCCTAGACCTACCTTAGGACTATTGGAGGGCTTTCATTGGAAGCAACCCACCTCCCTCCTCTCATATGTCCATACCTATCAGGACATGTGAGACCTGGATCAAACTCCTGGTTAAGCAACGTTCAGGGCTCAGGTAAACTCCACATGAAACAACTCAACAACAATGATTAAGAATCCCAGGACATGTTTAAGCAATCGTATTGGTTTTTGTTTTTCTTTTTTCTTTTTTGGTAACAGAGATTGAACTCGAGTCCTTGTGCTTGCAAGGCAGGCAGCGGAACCCCTGAGCTAAATCCCTGGCCCTGGTTTTTGTTTTTAAGCGTCCTGATTGAAGTAAAACAGGATACTTAAGAAAATAAGGGAAAACCAGAAATGTATTTATACAATCTGTACAAACTATATTTGTATAGTAAAAAAGGAATTAAAATAAAAGGTATTCAACGTGGTGCAAATAACCACCTGAAATGTAAAAATCATGTTTTATATGTCACTGTGAACTGTAATAGCCATTTACTTTAAGAGATATATGTAAGAAACAAATGAACTCATGAAAACAGCAAGGAATCTGATGTCAGTAATTTTATCTCCAAGGATAAGACTCCTGAAAAGACTGCTTTAAAAAACTGCTTCAAGCTTAAAACAAGATAAAGAATGTTGTATCCATTATGATCTCACATAGTGCACAGGCACATGTTTAGTTGAAGATCACCTTCTATCTTCCTGGGTAACCTAAGACTGATTATTCTGATTAACATAGGCAAAACAAGAATTTCTAACTCTCTACCATCTACCTACTTTAGTTTATCATTTGACACGGAAATATTAAAACCGAAGAAATAAACATTAATTTACCCATTCTGATCAAAATTTACTAGTTTTGGTTTTAAGTAATGGGTATGCAGAATAGAGGGTGAAAATAGAGAACAGATGTGAATTTGAGAAGGTCTAGGTAGAATCTTTGTTAAGCAATACTATGCTTCCTTTCAATGGCAGTCAGACTAGGACACAGAATAGAAAATATATCACATTGACTTTTTCCTTGCCCTATTAGAGTAATAGTGATATACAAGAAGTCTTTCAGCCACATGTGTTTATAAACAGAAACAGATATTCAACAATTCTCACTGGAATGAAGAAAAATACTTTTGATAAGACTGGTTTATAGTTATACTACCTTAAATACCAGAGATATTTCTGTCTGATCATTTTAAAATTTGCTAAGACTATATTCAGTCATCTTAAAAAAAAAAAAAAAAAGGACAAAATTCTTTTGTAAAGGGTTGACACCTCACATGTTAATTCCTGCTAGTATTAATTTACTACTAGGATCAGCATATACCCTTTGCATAAGGTTGGTTATACTCAAGACTTCATTACAGTGTGAATGTATTTAAAAACAGCTGATAGCTGTCAGATTGTCTTACCTTTAATTAAAATGACACAAACATCCCAATTGTAGTGTTTCTGGTAGAAAACAAATGCTACTATATATTGTTTAAGAAGTTTTTCTTACCTGCTCTGTAGCTGTAGGGCAGTAGAAGACTAATAAAATAGTTGTACAGATGTTTATTACTAGTCCAATGATGGTGATGAGATTTGGGGCAATCCATGAGGGAACTCTTCCAACCAACCATTCCCAATACCCCTGCATTAAGGGCTCAAGCAGGGAGCGTCCAGCACTCTGGTATCTATGTTCTTCTAGCCGCTTTAGTTGGTGTCTTGACAACGGTGGTGTAGGCAATTGAAACAATTTATTTAATACACATCCTGTAGTACTCATATGCCCGAAGCCCATGGGGGACTCCGGGTGAGAATCTCCACATCGTTTCCTTGTTGACCGATGCCCACTCATGGATCTTGGTTTTCTTTAATTTAGAGAGAGCAATTTATCTTGTTTTGTAGCTTTTTGTGGCTAGTGTTTATCTGGAAAAAAAGAGACATATTTGTCAGCTACTACTCAGTATCAGTAAATTAAAAAAATTCAACCTGCTAATAGAATAATACTAAGCAGGAATTAAAACTAGGAGCTTAATTTTGGTTCTGGTTCTTGTTGGAGGTGTATAACCTCACCTATAAGTGAAAATTAAGAGACTTTAATAGTTACGCTTCCTGCTACCTTACAGTTTGTCTGATCTTAAACTTCATACTTTTTTCCATCTCACACTACTTAGTTATATATAATATATATACATGAAAATTGATGTTCCAAGGCTAGCAGATTAGTATTAATATCAGAAGAATGACTTAGTTGAAATGGGTCTTAACCTAGATTTTTATTTAATGAAAATGGCCAACATCGATCCAGCATTTTCACTATAGTACTCAAAACTAAGTACTTTTTATACGTGAACTAATTTAACCCTCACAACAACTCTAGAATGTAGGTCCTATTAATTACCTTCTTTTTTTTTTTTTTAACAGTGAGAGTAAATTAACTTGTCCAAATAACAGGCCTTATAAGCGTTGTTAAAACAAACCCAGGATTTCTGTTTAAGTTGAAAAATGATACATTTTGGTGAAAGACGATATAGATGGTATTCTAGTTGGGAGTAACAGCAACAAGAAAATTAATTTAAAAATATATTAATTAAAAAAATATATTTATATATCATATTTCTCAGCAGTGTGATCTGATGATCTGAGGAAGTAGTAAAAAAACAAAGATAGAGAGAAGGTGAGCCAGTCCCAGCAGCCGGAAGGAAGCTCCCCTACCGCCATCCCACACTCCTAGGGCAGAGAAGCTGAGCCGGTCCCAGCACCTGGAAGGAAGCTCTCCTGCCGCCATCCCACGCTCCTAGGGCAGAGAAGCTGAGCCATGCGAGCACCAGAAGCACCACCCCTCACACCGTGGAAATGAGAACACACGCAAACAACCCTCAGAAACAGACTTCCAGATCACCTACAGCAACCCCAAA